CGGCACTCAGAAAACCCAAAAATTCGCGGCCCCCTGAGAAACCAATTCTGTCTTTTCCCCGAGAAAGAATTCTGTGGCCCTGAGTAAAAATTCTCTGGCACTCGGGTAACATTCTGTCTGCCCTAAATATAAAAATTTTTGTGGCCCTGAGTAACAATTGGGTGTCTGCAATTTAACAATTCGTGGCTGTGCAAAAACAATTTTTTGTTTTCTGGGGAGAGAAACAATTCTCTGGCACCCCAGAAACAATTCTGCCCTGTCCCTGAGTAAAAAATTCCGGCACTCAGTAAAAAATTTCCCGGGTCTTTTCCCCCTAGAATGAATTCGGTGGCCCTGAGTAACAATTCTGCCCTCGTGCGAGAAACCCCTTCGTGTCGGGTGCAAGTAACAATTTTGTGTCTGTAGAGTAAAAATTTTTTCCCCCCCCCCCCCCCTTCGGGCACTCAGTAAAAATTTTTCCTGTCTGTCCCAGAGTAAAAATTTCTCTGGCACTCAGAAACCCAATTCTGTCTGCCCCCTGAGTAAAAATTCTTTTTGGGCACTCATTAACAATTCTGCCCTGTCCCTGAGTATTTTTTCTGTGGCCCGATAACAATTCTGGGTCTGCGCGAGTAAAAAAATTCTTTTGGTTTTGTGAAAGGGTAAAAAATTTTTGTGTCTGGCGAGTAACAATTCTCTGGCACTCAGAAAAACAATTCTTTTCGTCCCGGGAGTATGAAATTTTTGGGCCCTTTAGTAACAATTCTGTCTCTGTGCGGTAACAATTCTGGGCTGTGAAAGGGAACCCTTTTTGTGTTCCTGTGAGAAAAAACCAATTCTCTGGCCCCCCCCCTCATCAAAACCCAATTTTTCCCTGTCCCTGAGTAACAATTCTCGGCCCCTCAGTAAAAATTTCCCTGTCTGTCCCTGGGGTATGAATTCTGGGGCCCGGAGTAAAAATTTTGTGTGTCTGTGCAAGTAAAAAATTCTGTGTCTGGGGCAAGAAACCCAATTTTGTGTTTTGGGAAAAAGGTAAAAATTTCCTCGGGCACTCAGTAACAATTCTGTCCTGTCCCTGATAACAATTCTTGGCACTCATAAAAAATTCTGTCTGTCCCTAAAGAAACCCTTCCTGCCCTTCCCCTGAGAAATGAAATTCTGTGGCCCCTGATAAGAATTCTCGGGCACTCATTTAACAATTCTGTCTGTCCCGAAAATGAATTCGTTGGCCCTGAGTAACAATTGTGTGCCCGGGTGCAAGTAACAATTCTGGGGTCTGTGCAAGAAACAATTTTGTTCTGTGAGAGAAAACAATTCCTGGCACCCCAGAAACAATTCTGTCTGCCCCCTGGCAAGTAACAATTTTGTGTCTGTGAGAAGTAACAATTCTCTGGCACTCAGTAACAATTCTGTCTGTCCCTGAGTAAGAATTCTCTGGCACTCAGTAACAATTCTGTCTGTCCCTGAGTAACAATTCTCTGGCACTCAGTAACAATTCTGTCTGTCCCTGAGTAACAATTCTGTCTGTCCTGAGTATGAATTCTGTGGCCCTGAGTAAGAATTCCTCTGGCACTCAGTAACAATTCTGTCTGTCCCTGAGTATGAATTCTGTGGCCCTGAGTAACAATTGTGTGTCTGTGCAAGTAACAATTCTGTGTCTGTGCAAGTAACAATTTTGTGTCTGTGAGAGTAACAATTCTCTGGCACTCAGTAACAATTCTGTCTGTCTGTCCTGAGTAACAATCTCTGGCACTCAGTAACAATTCTGTCTGTCCCTGAGTATGAATTCTGTGGCCCTGAGTAACAATTCTGTCTCTGTGCGAGTAACAATTCTGTGTCTGTGCAAGTAACAATTTTGTGTCTGTGAGAGTAACAATTCTCTGGCACTCAGTAACAATTCTGTCTGTCCCTGAGTAAGAATTCTCTGGCACTCAGTAACAATTCTGTCTGTCCCTGAGTAACAAATTCTCTGGCACTCAGTAACAATTCTGTCTGTCCCTGAGTATGAATTCTGTGGCCCTGAGTAACAATTCTGTGTCTGTGCGAGTAACAATTCTGTGTCTGTGCAAGTAACAATTTTGTGTCTGTGCGAGTAACAATTCTCTGGCACTCAGTAACAATTCTGTCTGTCCCTGAGTAACAATTCTCTGGCACTCAGTAACAATTCTGTCTGTCCCTGAGTATGAATTCTGTGGCCCTGAGTAACAATTCTGTGTCTGTGCGAGTAACAATTCTGTGTCTGTGCAAGTAACAATTTTGTGTCTGTGCGAGTAACAATTCTCTGGCACTCAGTAACAATTCTGTCTGTCCCTGAGTAACAATTCTCTGGCACTCAGTAACAATTCTGTCTGTCCCTGAGTAACAATTCTCTGGCACTCAGTAACAATTCTGTCTGTCCCTGAGTAACAATTCTCTGGCGCTCAGTAACAATTCTGTCTGTCCCTGAGTATGAATTCTGTGGCCCTGAGTAACAATTCTGTGTCTGTGCGAGTAACAATTCTGTGTCTGTGCAAGTAACAATTTTGTGTCTGTGCGAGTAACAATTCTCTGGCACTCAGTAACAATTCTGTCTGTCCCTGAGTAACAATTCTCTGGCACTCAGTAACAATTCTGTCTGTCCCTGAGTAACAATTCTCTGGCACTCAGTAAACAATTCTGTCTGTCCCTGAGTATGAATTCTGTGGCCCTGAGTAACAATTCTGTGTCTGCGCGAGTAACAATTCTGTGTCTGTGCAAGTAACAATTTTGTGTCTGTGCGAGTAACAATTCTCTGGCACTCAGTAACAATTCTGTCTGTCCCTGAGTAACAATTCTCTGGCACTCAGTAACAATTCTGTCTGTCCCTGAGTAACAATTCTCTGGCACTCAGTAACAATTCTGTCTGTCCCTGAGTAACAATTCTCTGGCACTCAGTAACAATTCTGTCTGTCCCTGAGTAACAATTCTCTGGCACTCAGTAACAATTCTGTCTGTCCCTGAGTAACAATTCTCTGGCACTCAGTAACAATTCTGTCTGTCCCTGAGTAACAATTCTCTGGCACTCAGTAACAATTCTGTCTGTCCCTGAGTAACAATTCTGTCTGTCCCTGAGAATGAAATTCTGTGGCCCTGAGTAAGAATTCTCTGGCACTCAGTAACAATTCTGTCTGTCCCTGAGTAACAATTCTCTGGCACTCAGTAACAATTCTGTCTGTCCCTGAGTAAAAATTCTGTGGCCCTAATAACGTTTCTGTGGCCCTAAGTAACAATTCTCTGGCACTGAGTAACAATTCTGTCTGTCCCTGAGTATGAATTCTGTGGCCCTAACTAGCGTTTCTTTGTCCCTAAATAACGATTCTGTGGCCCTCATTAACAAGTCTGTGTCCCTGAGTAATGGTTCTCTGTCCCTAAGTAACTTCTCTCTGTCCCCAATTCTCGTTTCTGTGGCCCTAACTCTGTCCCTGTCCCTAGTACAGAGCGGTCTGCCTCTGTTCAATGACTGCAGGCAAATGAAGATTTCCAAAATGGCCGCTATATATACCTCGACCATTACACAGTGCTGGCTGGCTGGCTGCTGATTGGCTGATGCGATCACATGTCGTTGAGGAATGCATTATGGGGCAGCGCGCCTTGTCTGTGCGCCTTCCCCGACATCCCCGCTCCGTCGCCGCACATGTCAGCCGCCATTTTCTGAAAAATTTCGATTCGCGCGTCCGAATTAGGCTGTTTTTCGGATTCGGCACGAATCGAAATTTTTCCGATATTCGACTCGAATTCCACTTCGGATACTTCGATTCGCTCATCTCTAGTCCTGACATTTGGGGGATATCTGTACTGTTCTGATATTTGGAGGATATCTGTACTGTTCTGACATTTGGGGGGATATCTGTACTGTCCTGACATTTGGGGAATATCTGTACCGTTCTGACATTTGGGGATATCTGTCCTGTCCTGACATTTGGGGGATATCTGTACTGTTCTGACATTTGGGGGATAACTGTACTGTTCTGACATTTGGGGGATATCTGTACTGTTTCTGACATTTGGGGGGATATCTGTACTGTCCTGACATTTGGGGAATATCTGTACCGTTCTGACATTTGGGGATATCTGTCCTGTCCTGACATTTGGGGGATATCTGTACTGTTCTGACATTTTGGGGATATCTGTACTGTCCTGACATTTGGGGGATATCTGTCCTGTCCTCCCACTTGGGGGATATCTGTACCATCCTGACATTTGAGGGATATCTGTACTGTTCTGACATTTGGGGGATATCTGTACTGTTCTGACATTTGGGGGATATCTGTACTGTCCTGACATTTGGGGACTATCTGTACTGTTCTGACATTTGGGGGGATATCTGTACCGTCCTGACATTTGGGGAATATCTGTACCGTTCTGACATTTGGGGGATATCTGTCCTGTCCTGACATTTGGGGGATATCTGTCCCGTTCTGACATTTGGGGGATATCTGTACTGTCCTGACATTTGGGGGATATCAGTACTGTTCTGACATTTGGGGGATATCTGTACTGTCCTGACATTTGGGGGATATCTGTCCTGTCCTCACATTTGGGGGATACCTGTACCGTCCTGACATTTGGGGGATATCTGTACTGTCCTGACATTTGGGGGATATCTGTACCGTCCTGACATTTGGGGGATATCTGTACTGTCCTGACATTTGGGGGGATATCTGTACTGTCCTGACATTTGGGGGTTATCTGTACTGTTCTGACATTTGGGGGATATCTGTCCTGTCCTGACATTTGGGGGATATCTGTACTGTCCTGACATTTGGGGGGATATCTGTACTGTCCTGACATTTGGGGGATATCTGTACCGTCCTGACATTTGGGGGATATCTGTACTGTTCTGACATTTGGGGGGATATCTGTCCTGTCATGACATTTGGGGGATATCTGTACTGTCCTGACATTTGGGGGATATCTGTACTGTCCTGACATTTGGGGGATATCTGTCCTGTTCTGACATTTGGGGGATATCTGTACTGTTCTGACATTTGGGGGATATCTGTACTGTCCTGACATTTGGGGGATATCTGTACTGTTCTGACATTTGGGGGATATCTGTCCCTGTTCTGACATTTGGGGGATATCTGTCCTGTTCTGACATTTGGGGGATATCTGTACTGTTCTGACATTTGGGGAATATCTGTACTGTCCTGACATTTGGGGGATATCTGTACTGTCCTGACATTTGGGGGATATCTGTCCTGTTCTGACATTTGGGGGATATCTGTACCGTCCTGACATTTGGAGGATATCTGTACTGTCCTGACATTTGGGGGATTTCTGTCCTGTTCTGACATTTGGGGGATATCTGTACTGTTCTGACATTTGGGGGATATCTGTCCTGTCCTGACATTTGGGGGATATCTGTACTGTCCTGACATTTGTGGGGATATCTGTACTGTCCTGACATTTGGGGATATCTGTACCGTCCTGACATTTGGGGGATATCTGTACTGTTCTGACATTTGTGGGGATATCTGTACTGTCATGACATTTGGGGGATATCTGTACTGTCCTGACATTTGGGGGATATCTGTACTGTCCTGACATTTGGGGGATATCTGTACTGTCCTGACATTTGGGGGATATCTGTACTGTTCTGACATTCTTGGACCTCAAGAAATTAGATTGGCTGTCAGTACTTCAGGATTGATCAATATTCAGATCTATACCATAGTTTGTGAACTCCATAACTTTCCTACAAACTAAATAATACATCTTAATTTGGGATATTTTCACCAAAGACATGTAGCAGAATACATCTCGGCCTTAATTTATGAAGAACAATTATTTATTTGTAAACGTTTATAACAGAAACAAAGAAAAACGTGTTTTTTTTTCAAAATTTTCGGTCTTTTTTTGATAGATTAGCAAAAAATAAAATCTCCAGCGGTGATTAAATACCACCAAAAGAAAGCTCTAGTTGTGTGAAGAAAATGATAAAAATTTAGTTTGGGTACAATGTTGCATGACCGCGCAATTGTCATTCAAAGTGTGAGAGCGCTGAAACCTGAAAAATGGCCTGGGCAGGAAGGTGTAAAATTGCCCGGTATTCAAATAGTTAAAATATTGAAACTGTTTCTGCCATTTCCACATATTATTTATTTATATTTTTTTTTACATTAGCCAATTATGTTTTAGATGTAATTGGACATTTTAAATGTAAAATAAATCCCCTCTTTTCCTTCTATCCTGTACCCCTGAATTCTATTTCATCACTCTTTGCATTCCTTTACTCGCCTCTGATGCTCCATTTAATTAATTGCTGGCTGAAGTGATTTGTCTGTGAGCGCAGTCTATGATCTTCAGATAGGCGATGTGACCGTATTTCTCAGCTACGCCCGCGCTATTGTAAACTCCCCATGAAACCAATACTGCTATGGAGATCGATGCAATCTTGTTCTCTGCCAGCTATCCCGCAGCTCCATACTGTACTCTAATCAATTCATTTGTCAGTATGTGCCGAATGCTCCCTGCATCGCTGCGGTGTTTTATGTTTCACAAACAATAGTTTTGCAGCTCTGTATCAGGACGCATTGTGGAAAATTCTAATTCTCACACTTATTATGTCTTCTGCAGCATTCCGTTATCAAAGAAAAACTTCAAGCTGGCCTCCAGGCAAACAGCCAAATTCACATTCAAAATACATATATGGGAACTGTTTTATCGACCAAGTGGTTGGAAATTCTGTTTGGTCAGTTTTGCAATCCAGGTTACCCCTGCCTGACATCACAGTCACGTTGTCAGGATCTGGCCAACGCTGCTGATGTGGGCTCCCCAGCTACACTGTAGGGATAACCAATGAAAGTTGGTAGGCATGCCATAAGGGCAGTGTTTCTCAACCTTTTTTCAGTCAAGGCACCCTTTAAAATTATGGACAGTCCCGAGGCACCCTTGAAAATTATGGACAGTCTTGAGGCACCCCATTCTAAAATGGGGTGCCTCAAGACTTTCTATAATTTTAAAAGGGCACCCCATTCTAAAATGTGAAAAACTATTCTAATAGTTTTATATAACTAAGCAACATCCACACATGTAGGACACCCAACATTAGAGGGGATTTATTCTTCCAAAACAAATACACTTTTGGTACTGACTAGTATTCCGATGTTTCTCTTCTCTCTCAGTTTTGGGGTAAAGAGGCGCTACTGTGTTTGTTTAATCCTCTGCCCAATCGGCCTGCGGTGACTGTATTGGATAAACGACTTCTTAACCATTATAGTGTATATTTGATAAAGAGAGTTTCCTCTTTCTGTGTACAAAAAGGGGTGGTGGCAGTGTGTAAGGGTCAGTTGCGTAATTAACATGACCCAGTAACAAGCGCATCCAGGCTGCATGCACAGATTGAAATCCATTAGCTGGAAAATCGCTGTGTAGGGTGCAGTTGGGTGTGGCATTGTTACACAGTCTGGATCGGCCAGTCCTTCTTCGGTCACGAGTTTGGTGAGAAGGTCTGGGGTCTGACGCCGCGATCATGACATATTTGACCCCAGCACTGACAGAGAGGGGCAGGGGAGGGTCAAACTAGGATGCTGCGCAGGCAGCTGAAATCCTCCTCATCAATGAATGATGTCATTGGTTGTCACGATGTCGGCGGTTAGAAGGTCGTAATGGTGCACAGTGAAAACCTGTGACTTTGTGTAACTAAAAAGCAGGCTTGTTCCACCCGCTGGCTTGTATACAAGTTTTGGGCAATTTTAATATGGCTACAATCACCTTGGGCAATTTGTAGACATTTTGCCTAGGCACCCTTGAAAAAACCTCAAGGCACCCCAGGGTGCCTGGGCACCCTGGTTGAGAAGGGCTGCCATAGAGGTTTAGGCCAGCAGCTGGTTCATGGTAGAACAGAGCACCTTGAAACAGATTAGACCTGGAAGCTGGATCTGTAGAGTAGGAACCATGCTGGAGAACACTCAAAAAAAGGAGATTCTGGAAACTGGTCTAGGATAACTCGGGGAAGTTTGAACAGTAATCACTGTTTGAGGATGGTCCCATGTGAGAGAGGATGATGCTAGATCCCCTATGTCACAGAGTCTGTTAATCAACCAGAACCCGCTCATGAAGATTTGGGCTTTTCTACATGCTGACCCAAAGTCAAAACTCCCAGGTTCATCCTACTTTGAGTACCATGGACCACTAGTTGGAGGTCACTAGGAAAATCCAGAGGCTAGGGCTGGCAGCAGCCACGGATAACCAGGCAAACAACAGAGGTCAGGTTAGGCAGCAGACAAGGATAACCAGGAAATATGCAAAGGTCAGGATGGGTATCAAACATGGATAACCAGAAAAAAGCCAGAGTTCAGAATGAGGAGCAGACGTGGACAATCAGGAACAAGGCACAGGCCAGGATGGGCAGCAGTCATGGAAAACCTGGAAGAAGCCAGAGATCAGAATGGATAGCAGACATCAATAACCAGGAACAAGCCAGAATTTACGATTGGTATCAGACATGGATAACCAGGAAAAAACTAGAGGTCATAATGGGTAGCAGACACGGACAACCAGGAACAAACCAGAGGTCAGGATGGACAGCAGACACAGATAACCAGGAACTAGTCAGGGGTCAAGATAGGCAGCAGACACAGATAAGCAAGAACAAACCAGATGTCAAGACCAGTAGTAGACATGGATAACCAGGAGCCAGCTAGAGGTCACAACGGGTAATGGATATAACCAGAAACTAGACAGAAGTCAATACATAAGGATCAAAAGCTGGGATGCAGGAAATAATCAGGACTAACCAAAATTGGTACACAGGATTCAGTGAAAATGCAATAGGCTGAATGAGACAGGCTCCCTTATGACTGGACTCCAGGCAAAACCCAGAACTGCGCACAATACACATCTTAAAATCAGAGGAAGGTAAGTAGCACTGACACATGTTCTTGACCTCTTAGCAGGCTTCACTGAAAGTTGGCGAGGGAGCCTACCCAAGCCTGTGATTGGATAAATAAGTAGCATCAACATATTGATGTTATTATCCCTGTGACTTCATTTTTTTCTGTGAATGAGTAGGAGTACTATCTATGTACCCCTACTCTTTCACACAGCGGGAGGTGGTATCTGGGGGGGTTCTTTTTTTGTTAAAGGCTGCTTCGGGATTCCAGTAAGCCCATGTGACCACTAGGCCAGGGTTGTGGGAAAGAGGCTTTGGTACTTTTTGTACACATCAACAATGGGGACAAGGTGCCTTACCGGGGGGGGGGGGGGGGGGTCCTATTTTGGTTCAGGAGGGGGGTGCACATTGCACACTTGTTACCTTTCTTTCCTGACTCTGATAGGGTGCTGGTATGGATTTTTGGGAGGGACCTTGTGTTGCTTTTTTTTTCCCTTTTCTTGCTTGGGGCCTCCCTTTAATTTTATACCATATATAAAAAACCTAATATGAAGCAGGGAGGGAACCCCATGCTACTGTTTTTGCTTTAGTGGGCATGTCTGCCCATTAACATCCATCATCAGATTAGATTGGGTATAAATGAATGCAGGGCTGTCTTAATGCATGGGAACCCCTGGGCACTGGCTAGGGGCATCAGGTGCATAGGGGCCCCATAATAAACTTGCATTACATCATGCTTGCCAACCGTCCCGGATTTGCCGGGACAGGCACACTTTTTACTAAGCTGTCCCGGGGATGGCTTGAGCGTGTTCCAGAGCCTGTACTGTGCCCTCCTGATCCCAGTCTTGTGCCCTCCTGACTCCAGTGTACTGTGCCCTCCTGATCTCAGTAGTGTGCCCTCCTGATCCCAGTATTGTGCCCTCCTGATTTCCCCTGTACTTGCCCTCCTGATCCCAGTGTTGTGCCTTCCTGACCCCACTGTACTGTGCCCTCCTGATCCCAGTAATGTGCCCTCCCGACTCCCCTGTACTGTACCCTCCTGATTTCAGTATTGTGCCCTCCTGACTCCCCCTGTATTGTGCCCTCCTGATCCCAGTATTGTGCCCTCCTGACTCCTTCCTGTAGTGTGCCCTCCTGATTCCAGTATTGTGCCCTCCTGATCCCAGTATTGTGCCCTCCAGATCCTAGTATTGTGCCCTCCTGACTCCTCCCTGTATTGTGCCCTCCTGATCCCAGTATTGTGCCCTCCTGATCCCAGTATTGTGCCCTCCTGATCCTAGTATTGTGCCCTCCTGACTCCCCCTGTACTGTGCCCTCCTGATTCCAGTATTGTGCCCTCCTGATCCCAGTATTTTGCCCTCCTGACTCCCCCTGTACTGTGCCCTCCTGATTCCAGTATTGTGGCCTCCTGATCCTAGTATTGTGCCCTCCTGACTCACCCTGTACTATGCCCTCCTGATGCCAGTACTGTGACCTCCTGATCCCATCATTGTGCCCTCCTGATTCTCCTGTACTGTGACCTCCTGATCCCATCATTGTGCCCTCCTGATTCTCCTGTACTGTGACCTCCTGATCCCAGTACTGTGCCCTTCTGACTCCTCCTGTACTGTGCCCTCCTGATTCCAGTATTGTTCCCTCCTGACTCCCCCTGTACTCTGCCCTCCTGATCCCAGTATTGTGCCCTCCTGATCCCAGTATTTTGCCCTCCTGACTCCCCCTGTACTGTGCCCTCCTGATTCCAGTATTGTGG